TACGCTAGGTAAGTCATGCGATATTTTTATATTTTGTTTTTCATTATAGAATTTATTAACGATGCATGTACAAAATGATCACAAATTGTAAGTTATTTTATTGTTAGTCTTTATTTCGTACTAAATGGTTTTTACAACATGTTTTGGTACAGGAGCGAGTCATAATGATAAAAGTGATCAATCATAAGTTTGTATATAAACACAGATATTTAAGATTTACTCACATAACATACTTTTATATTGGAGATAGTTATGAATGATCATAATGATCTATTCTAAAGTTAAATTTTAAATACTTTGTTAGTTTTCATTCTAAAACTGCGACTAGGCTGCACTCAATGTTTTTGTTTATCTGAAAAAAAAAATACATCCAAAAGTTACAAATTTCCTATGTTACATTTTCGTTTGTTGAAGACGATTTTTACCTTTTTTTATCTTGGTGATCACTGTCTTTATCTCTTCTGTAATGTAGTGATTACATTTGTTAGTTTCATCGATTAGAGTTTGTCCTTGTTGATTTTTCTTTCTTTTTAAATAATACATCAAGCATTCTGTAAGTTTAACAAAATAATTTTCATAATTATTAAAACAATTGGAAACTGTAACACATGCATTTTTTTCATTCATTTCAGATCTATAACCCAAGTATTTTCAAATATATTGTCACTGAACATGATTAATAACTTTACATATTTTCTTGCAAAACCTTCTACATGCTTTAATTCGGAGGGTTTTTTGGGTACTCGCTAGCCCTTATTTCTTAAGTGTTGACTGTGCTACTACATTAAAAAAAATGTGTACAATTACTTACTTTTGATGAATTTTGCTTTCGTAGGTGTTAATTGTTGACGGACGTTAACGCCATTAGGCGTTTTGTTTACGGCATTTCCTGAAATTGATCTTTTAGCTAATTCTTCATTTGTATACAAGTGTCTGACGATTTTTTTTGTAAATAAACTCGGAGTTCCGCTTAGCATGTACTTATCAAACAGACTTTGGGCCATTGTCACTTCATTACCTAACTTGACCATGGCCACCTGAATAAAAATGAAAAAAATTATTACATTTGACCAAAATGTTTTTGTCGTTCTTAGAATTCTAGTGTTTCATGAATTATTAATGTGAAAACGTCTGTTCAGTCGAGAGCGACTTCAATTGAGGACCGCCACGAGCGCGCGCGTTTAGAAAACAACATGATTTGACCATACG